CTACAGCTCACTTCATCGGATGCATATGCTCAAATAAATTGGTTAGTCTCTAAGGTGCCACAAGTACTCCTTTTCTTTTTGCAAATACAGACTAACACAACTGTTACTCTGAAACCTTTGATATTTGTGGCACAGATGATGTAAACAATACGCAGAGATACTGTGTTTTCACTCTTCCAGCTGAACTCCGCATCATAGCTGCACCATCCATATCATTCTAGATACTATTGTGAAAGGTGCAAGATATGAGAGGGAATATGCTGACCTTGTTCCATTCAACTGCCATGCATTGATCAATCAATAGCTGATTTCAGTGAGGTTAAGTGATAATACCCTGTTAGCCAGTGAAGGCAACAACACTTATCAGGACTAAAGAAAACAATGGTATGAAATAAGGAATAGCCAGTATGCCTCTGGAAAGGGGAAGAAAAACCCAGCACATCTAAATCTCAGGAGGAGGGTGTGGTGTAGCATGGGACTGGGAATCAAAACTCTTCCGTTCTATTATTGGCTTTCCTTTACTTGGTGTAGGATCTTGAGTAAGGCACTTAACATCTCTATGCCATAGTACAGAACTGCAAAACGATAGGCAATCTTTTAGTCCTAGAGAAGTGCTTTGACGCTTAGGATTTGCAAAAAGCTTTGAGATACTTGGATAAAAAAGCACCATGTAAGTGTAAATCATTATTATTTGTTATGTACCAACTTCCAGGGTTTTAAAAAGCAGACAAATCCTTCCAGACAGACTTCAGAACAGAACAATAAATCCCTTCCCTATCTCAGTAAGTCTGGCCATGCCCTTTGTAAATTTAGCTTTATATATACAGTCTAGGAGATTTTGCTGATGGGAATGGCTAAGAGAAATTCCAGAAGGACTTTTTCCCCCAAAGGAAAGGGGAGCGTGAGTGATTTATCATGATATTTTCTCCCATCTTCTTTATTTTAGGATTGGGGATGTCCAACAACAGAGGAAGGCCATCAGCTCAATGAATTGTAAAATTAGGTTAAGGAAGATTTTATTCTTTATATATGCGTTTTAACCTACAGTTACATTTGATTGGACCTAAATTTTACCATAGTACAGTAACTTTTTATACCTGACTGTACAATTTGTGGCTCGCAAGGAATAATGACAAGAGTGACAGCATAAAGGAACGAGCTACTAGCCAAGAGTGAGGGTGAGTGCTTAGATGGATTGATAAACTCTTTCCATCATACAGACACAGGTTAGCTAAGCAGAGAAACAACAGGAGCTAACAAGAAATGCAAAAGTCGGAGCCCTTTTTCCACTTCTACAGAGCCCTTAGTAGAAAGCAGGACTAATTTATAATAACTAGAGGGAGAGACAATAAATTATATTACACTAATTTACTTCTATGTTCAGCTTCATATGCACCAGTTAATCAAGTGGTCAAGATGATCTTTTCATAGGGGCCCCCTTCTAGATATTATGGGCCATGATCTTGGCACTTGTTTTGGCCCCCTCTGCCACCAGAACGGCACAGGAGGACTAGAAAGCTGCACTAAGTGGGGACATACCAAGAACAGAAGCGGGAATGGATATGGTGCACTGTGCTCCAGCAATTCCTGTCAATATAATGGTTCCTTAACTATGCGGGGTATGGGCCAGCGGAAAGGGTATGTCTACACTGCAGTTAGACACCCGCAGCTGTCCCATGCCAGCTGAGTTGGGCTTGTGGGATATGGACTAAGAGGCTGTTTAATTGCGGTGTAGACATTTGAGCTCGGGCTGCAGCCTGAACTCTGGGACCCTTCCCCCTCACAGGCTCCTAGAGCCTGAGCTCCAGCCAGAGCCCGAGCATCTACACCACAATTAATTAAATCAACTGCTCTGTAGACATACCCAAAATTGCCCTAGGATCAGGGAATTGTGAATAGCTCCTTTGCATTTTTCTCTCTTAGCTGTGCTCAGCACTTACTGGGTGCACCTGAGGATCCAGACCATTCTTCACTTATTCCAAAAGTGAACGAACTCCAATTGTTTGTGCAAACAGAACATGCAATAAAAAGCATGATCTCATAGTTGGTCCTGGATGGGAATACTGGTGTCACTGCCCTGGAGTCATAATTCACACAAATGTACAGACTCTTTCTATGAAAGAGTACCATGAAAATAGAGAAAGGTGAAATGTAATAAAGACATCAATACTCAGGCAGTGCAGTCAACCTAAGGAGCTGAGCTCGCTCAATAGGCCAACATCTATGGAAGTACCAAGGTTATGCTTTGGGTAGATTGATGGTGACAGCATTCAGGCGACTGATGCTGCAGTTTTATGAATCATTTCCTCAGAGCTTGATTTATGCTTACCCAGGCAGTTGCATCCTTTAAGTATTCAGCTGGTGTATACTAGAGGTATCTGGGGACTGCAAATAGCCATTTAAAAAAATTTCTTGCCTGGAAACTGGCAAGATACATTTTAGAAGAATACTCTTATGTTTCCTGAAGCCCTTCTTATACTAAATTTCTTTCACAAATAAACAGCATTCCACTTGTACACATAGAATATATTCTTGGTTCTGTCTAGCAGTCAACAAAGGTAGGTCGTGTTAACTGTTGGCATCTTTGACCAAATTTTCAAAATGGCCTCAACCAGAACACTGAATTTGGTGCCTGCTGTTTACAGTCAATGCATGTTTTTAGGCACCCAGAATGATGCCCCAAAATCATCTTCAGTCAGAATTGCAGGCACTAGTTTAATGGCCAGTTTTTTGTCCCCTGTCCCTTCTTAAATTTAAAAAGGCTAAATTCCAGCTCACAACCAAACTCTTCTGTATTTGGGAGGTGTGAACCTTGTGAAAAGATAAGTTCCTGGCCTCAAGGGCCTTACAGTTTGCTAGATAAATCATAGACAATGATAGATGAAGGGTGAGGGGGAAGACAACAGTAAATGGGGGATTGAAGAACTACTCTTTACGGTTCTGATTGGGCCTGCTTCTCTCTGCCAGCTGACCTCCATTTGCCACAGGCTATGCCTACTTTATATCACTTAGGATTCCTCTGTGTCATGGGACTCCTCAGTTACCTCTTTTGGAGAGCTCTCCAGCTGCTCTGTGCCATTTCAGGGCAAAGCAGCCCAGAACAGATGCCAAGGTTCTAGGCCTGAGTGATTAGATAGGCCTTAAAACTAGCCCTGAAGGTCATTGACTCAGATTCAATTTCACACTAATGGGGAAGTGAATTTCAGAGTCAAAGGTAAAACCAGGCACAGAGTACCCTCTCTTTCAGTTCTTCAGAGTTCAAATATGGGCTTCTAGTTTCAGTGTTCACTATGATCTCATCTGCCCTTCTCTGTTATCTGTCCTAAATTAGGCCTTTGTGGGTTAAGTGCAACTATGTTTTTAAGTCCTGCTTTTGCTCTTACGCAAGCACAGAGGAGTTCTGTCATTCATTATTATAGGTGCAGGATCGGCCTTCTCTGATAAAAAGTGTCACTTCTTCCAGTTAATGCACTGAGGATTTGTCAGCTCTCTTTCTCAGACATTATCGTGTTTGCTGTATATTCTACAATTTCATCTTGCTTTTCTCCTTGATATTTCTACTGCGTGACTGTTAAATAGGAGTCTCCTTTAACCATTCTTCACTGAAGAAATCAAATGGAGCATGCATGACTCAACAGTTTGATCCAAATGATGACAGACTATGTAGCTTTTAATGTGGAAAGGTAGTTATTGGCTATAATTAGGAACAAAGATAAACAACAACGCTTTTCTGATTGCCTGAGATGGAGAAATAAGAAGGGAAATTATAGTGATACTTCTACTACTAATTAATTATAAAAAACTAAGCAAATGGTGATAATAAAAACATAGGTCCCAGTTCATCAAAACTCTTAAGCATGTGCTTAAGTTTACAATGCAACTTGAGAGCTTTTCTGACTAGGGATGAATTTACTCACTTGCTTAAAGTTAAGCATTTGCTTGAAATGCTTTGCTGAATTGGGGCTATAAAGATTAACCCCCTTCCCTCTCTAACCAAGTGAAAAGCAGCAAAGGACCAGCTCCTGCTTAATATTAGTGGGTATTTTGTGTGCATAAGGAAAGTAAGAATGGGCTCAAAGTACCAACTGCTCCTTTCTACTCAACTGCACGTTTTTCAATAAGGTTGATGGTACAGGAATGGAACAGAATTGTGAAAAGTGTTTAACAGTGCGGGAGAGTGGCATTGTCTAGGCTATGAGGAGGCCACAATTTGGGCCTATAACAATTTAAACCATATTGGCCATTCTGCGTGGTGTCAAGAGCTTACTGAAATTCCAGACTTAGAGTGGTTGCCAAGAAGGGCTGGGTCTGTCATGATCTGACCATGAAATTTCATTTGCTCATAGCAGTTGCCCCTAGCTGCCTCCTCGTCCCCGTCCCCCCCACCTTTCTTTCCTCCCTATGATTAGAGGGCTGTTACCTGGCCACTGCACCTTGAATGGTCCCTTAAAATATGTGTTAACTATTTATGCTAAACAATCTGTTTCATCTTTTAGTTAGCTGTAACATTGAGTATGTTTCCCAGACTTGAAGAAGAGCTCTGTGCCAGCTCGAAAGCTTGTTTCTCTCACCAACAGAAGTTGGTCCAATAAAAGATTACCTCGCCCACCTTGTCTGTCTAATATCCTGGGACCAACACTGCATTACAACATGTGTTCATAACAACATTTTAGACTCAGTTCCATTTTATTTATAATGCCCCATTGAGAGCAACTGGTTCACCTCCCTTTTATTTTGTCAGGTCTGCAAGCCCATTTGAACTTTGTTGTTAAGAATATGTTATTTTTGGAATAAAAGGAGGGACAGACATAAAATGTCAGTTTCCATATACCCTCTATAATTTGTACTATTGAAGGTGTGCACGTAAAACCTTGTCCCTGGTTGTTGCTGGAGAGAAAAAGGTAGCTTACCGCTGTTAGGACCATGCTATGTCAGTGGTTTAAAAAGCTGTTGGACAGAAACTTCTTGCTGCATTACTTTTATGTTTTCTCTCTCTCTAGGATCTCCTGCTCCAGTTGGTTCGGTCTATATTATTAAAGCAGTGGGAAAAAGCAGCATGATGATTGGCTGGGAGAGACCGGTAGTAGATGAATTAGGATGTAGTAATGGAACTTTCATTACAGGATACAGGGTAAGTTTAAATACAAAGTAAAACACTACATCAAATTCTTTATGCCATGATAAATAGGAAACATTTATTTAATATTCGTGAGTAGTTTTTGTCACATGCATAATTTTTTTATTTCAAATACTCAAAGTGTTAATATTTGGATGCTACCTAGTACAGCACATTGATTGTAAATACTCAGTAAAATCCATAAAGTCATGTTTTATTACAAAGGCAGATCTTATACTTGTGTTCAAAGACTATTGACACAAAAGCTACTGAATTTAATTTAGAAAAAAAACAAGTAGAAATAATATGCGCTTCTGTATTAGTCTTGATATTGCTTAAATATCATAACATTTTAAAATGACATTTAAGAGTATTTCTTTTTCAAGGGTCTAACTAAACTTAAAATTCCCATTTAATGAACCTAGAAATAGTGAGGGGTCATTATTAATTGCAGAAGTTTAGGTTTCAAATTCTTCATTTTGTATCTTCTGCAATGCTTGTGAAAAGCTCATTGTCTGCACTTCGCAGATACATTAATGGAGCCTGATTCTGCTACACTTACATTGGGTTTGCTGAATATTTCAGGTCTATTGTAGGTATTTTTATAGCTCCCATTACTGCCTCACAATCTTTAATGTATTTACCCCCGTAACACCCCTGTGAGGTGGGGCAGTGCTATTATCCCCATTTTAGAAATGGGTAACTGAGGTACAGAGAAGTATACTTAGTGACTTGTCTTAATCACATAGTAAATCTGTAGCAGATGAGGGAATTGAACCTGGGTCTCCTAAGTTAGTGCCCTAACCACTGGATCATCCTTTTAATAGGGCTATTTGAGAAGTGAAGGACTACTCAACATGAGTAAAAGCATCATAATTTGGCCCATAATAATGAGGGAAATTGATTTTACTTTATTGTTAAGTGAATTTAATTCTTGTACAAGGTGCCAGATTGATAGCCCTGAAGATAGAAATCCTTTATATCTCTGCAGAGCAGGTCAGCAGTACAGTGCAGGCTTCTCCAGACCTGGACGGCAGATACTTCTCAGGGGAACAGGGTACTTCAGTCTCCACGCTCCAGTTCTTTGGTTTTCCCTGGATGCTGAATTGCCACTTGTATGATACATTTTGCCTCTCTCTCCAGCTCATTTCAGGAGAAGAAAGATAGCAAGTAGTTTTCCCCTTCATAATTCTAGGGAGAAAATGGCTCTAATCAGAAATATAAAATATGCTAATGCAATAAGAAAAATATTTCATTTGCCATGGTTGCCAGGATATACAAGGTTGTCAATAACATATGATGTTCTGCAATATAACATGCTACCTCAATAACAGCATGTAAAATTAATGTGAGTTACATGTCCAGAATAAGGGGTGAATATAATTTCATTATATTATAAGAATATTTCATTATATTTGCCATCATTTGAAAAAAAAGACGTTCAACTGTAACCTGGCAAGAATAAACTCAATTAACTATTATCCAATTATTCTAATTGGTATAAATGTGTATCCTTTTTCTTTAAAAAGCTATGAACAGTTCCCCTTTGAAGTGACTTTTGGAAACCCTATTTCATTGTCAATTTGTGATTGTATAATATATAACATCCCAGTTGTACCAATGACTAATGCATTTAAGACCTGTGGATGTATGGTATATTTTGTTCCCATTTGCTGTAGTCAAAATGGTATAATATTAATAATTCTCCTACATCAGTTATATGCTAATCAATTTTTAAAGAGATGCTGTCCCTGCCTTCCCATCTCCCTTATTGTAGTTTCTGTGAGAGCAATAAGTTATCACACATTTCTTTTATTCATGCCTGCACCTGAATTCATGTGTATATATAGGCTGAGCTGGCTGATGAATTTTTAAAGGCATGTGATTGCAATCTCCTAACCAAGGACTTGAACATGTCTTATTAAAGACAATGGTAAAACTCCTCTTGATTTCACTAGGAGCAGGTGCAGTCTTCAAAGTATATAGTTTGCAGGCTTATGGCAGACACAGGTATATATTTTTATATGTGTGTGTGCTTTACTTGAAACTGCCTTAAATTGTACCTTACATGTTGTCATAAATATAAAGGGAAGGGTAAACCCCTTTGAAATCCCTCCTGGCCAGGGGAAAGCTCCTCTCACCTATAAAGAGTTAAGAAGCTAAAGGTAACCTCGCTGGCACCTGACCAAAATGACCAATGAGGAGACAAGATACTTTCAAAAGCTGGGAGGAGGGAGAGAAACAAAGGGTCTGTGTGTCTGTCTATAGTCTGTCTTTGTCGGGGATAGACCAGGAATGGAGTCTTAGAACTTTTAGTAAGTAATCTAGCTAGGTATGTGTTAGATTATGATTTCTTTAAATGGCTGAGAAAAGCATTGTGCTGAATAGAATAACTATTTCTGTCTGTGTATCTTTTTTATAACTTAAGGTTTTGCCTAGAGGGGTTCTCTATGTTTTGGAATCTAATTACCCTGTAAGATATCTACCATCCTGATTTTACAGGGGGGATTTCTTTATTTCTATTTACTTCTATTTTTTATTAAAAGTCTTCTTGTAAGAAACTGAATGCTTTTTCATTGTTCTCAGATCCAAGGGTTTGGGTCTGTGGTCACCTATGCAAATTGGTGAGGCTTTTTATCCAACATTTCCCAGGAAAGGGGGGGTGCAAGTGTTGGGAGGATTGTTCTTAAGATCCAAGGGTCTGGGTCTGTAGTCACCTAGGCAAATTGGTGAGGCTTTTTACCAAACCTTGTCCAGGAAGTGGGGTGCAAGGTTTTGGGAAGTATTCTGGGGGGAAGGACGCGTCCAAACAGCTCTTCCCCAGTAACCAGTATTAGTTTGGTGGTGGTAGCGGCCAGTCCAAGGACAACGGGTGGAATATTTTGTACCTTGGGGAAGTTTTGACCTAAGCTGGTAAAGATAAGCTTAGGAGGTTTTTCATGCAGGTCCCCACATCTGTACCCTAGAGTTCAGAGTGGGGGAGGAACCTTGACACATGTGTCATAACTTTAGGGCAGTAGTTTTGGAATGCTATTTACATTTCCCACTTTACTACTGTGTATGTATTAGACTTTGGAAATTTTGAAAAAAAAAGCAACAAGATTTTTTGTGTAAGGTCTTTGCACTGTGGTACTCCTGTGGGAACTCTGGCAAGTGCAAAACAATGCTCCAAACCCTGAAACCCTTGCTCAGCGCCATCTTCTGCTAAATAGTCCCTTACTCTTTGAATAGTCCCATTGAAAGCAATTACTGCTTGTGATGCATAAGTGTGGCAGAACCTGGTTTGTGGTCCTTACTTAGGCTACGTCTACCCTGTGCTGCAGTGCAGCCTATGGAGGTGTGAATTGCAGAGTGCAGCAAATTCTCTGCGCTCTAACTGATGTTTGTGTACACTGCTGGAGTGAACTAAAATGTACCTAGTTCTCCTTAATGTAGTACTCCTTCAAACAGGACTCTGTTAACGCGAACTAGGAACTTTTGAATTCGCACCAGCAGAAACCACATTGGGCAGTTTGTGCACAGTGTGCACCGCAATTCACAGCCTCCTAATCTGAACTACAGGGCATTATAAACAAGCCCTTAGCCACTGGTTTCAGTTGGTGTTTGCTTGAATAGGAACTGAGGATCAGATTTGCAAAGGTATTTAGGTGACTAAAGATGCAGGCAGGTGCCTAGTATTTTCAAAATTGCCTAAGAAGGTTAAGTGCCTAACTTCATTAAAATCTGACTCGGAGTAAAAATGGTGCAAGTGCTTTAGGATCTGGCCCAATATGTTTAAAGGCTGGAGTTTTTTGGCACACAAGTTACTCTTTCACAAACTAGTGTCAATGGCAGTTACCCACGAGAACACTCTCCACATTGCCAGCGTCATAGAGCTCCTGTGAAATCATTGGCAGAAAACCAGAACAAGGGTATGTATGTGCCTCTTAATCCCACTTAATCAAATCACCCTAAATGAAATGTCGTAAAATGTAAATCACTATTGAATAAGCACCTAAAAATTCATAGCTATAGTAGGTAAATTTCCAAATAGCCTCCACAACCTAAATTAGGTAATTTAAACAAGCTATTTATTTTCTCGTTAACCTTTAACTGAACTTTATATTACACTACAGATATATACAGATGGGGAATTTCGTAAATCTGTTATGAGTTCAGCATGCACAAAGGTAAGCAGAGTTTTTTGTAGAAAGATATTATTTGTTATCAGTATTTAATTTGGAGAAACCATTGAGCTGAATAATTTCATAGGCCATGCAGTGATGGGGGAGGGGATATTATTTCCTTGATTACAGGGTAATTTTTGAAGGTAGTGCTGCTTAACATCATCCTTTTGCAGCAATATAACTAATAGAAATAATCACTGGATTTTGTGTTAGAGTGAAGAGCAGGAACCTGAAACAAGATCATTGTACCTGGTATTACATATATATCTCCTAAATCATTTGCCTAAAATTCTTTTGAGGATATGGTTGCTTGTTCTACCCAGTCTACTGGGTTGCTTATGAGTTGCGAGACATCATAAGGTCAGTTCCTAGGACATCATAGATGATGCGCATCATCAAGCACACATTAATTCCACCTGGGGTTTGTGTGCTTCTCTCCTATCACCTCTTGAAAATCTGCCATCAGATGCGTTGTGGCTTTTCATAATCCCAGGTGAGAACGAGTCGGCTTCCTTCCACCCAGCATGATTCCTGGTTAGTCTTTTCAGCATCAATCATTGGGCTTTAATGCCAAATCTCATTCCGAGTCAACTGTTGGCAGCAATTTCGTAGTATCATTTCCAGTTATTACTGAAAGTATACAGAGACCAGTGCTATCATGTTAGGCAACAGAGATTAACTGAACATGTGAGTCAAGTAATTTGTTTCACATAATATCATGGAACATTCAGCCATGCTTTTCATACACGTCTCTCTCTTTCCAGACATCTTAGTTGTCTTTGACTCAGTATGAAATTTATAAATAAATATGTGCTTACTGTGTATTTAGTATCCTTGTGTGTTGTGGTGAACACATTGCCTTTAAAAATTATAGTATGCTTTTTCTTAAGTGACCGTTAGCCAATAGATATGTGCTAGCTGTAGGGCATACGATATTAATATTGTATTATGCCCAGCATGTAGTCAGTTATGTTAACTGAATGATATATCTTTCCCACAACTCTGTTCACTTTGTTCACATGCATCAAGAGATATATATACTTTGCAAAGCTCAGTGTAGCTTTTGGCATTAGCAAATATAAAGTCTGTCAAAGGCAAGATACATCTGTTCTGTGTCCTAGTATATGTACCTTCAGGGGCAACTGGTTTCAAGTGTAATATCCAAAACAGAGATAAGGAAAGGAACAGAACAAGTTAAGGAACTGGTACAAACTCATGGGTTGGACCTTAAGTGATGTATAAATTGCTTTCAAACTTATAAGCAACTGTGCTAGAAATATAAGTGGTTTGAGGGACATATTTTGAAGCACACCTTCTATGTAAGATGAACTACATGCTGTGAGAAAAAAAGCATTCTCAGAAGGATTAGCATGGTATTAATGCTTTCCTTTCTGTATTGTACTGCTTTGTCTTTAGACAATAAATTGGAACATTTGGTTATTTGGTCTTTTAAACATGTTTTGTAATGAACTCCAAGTGTAGTCAATCAATTGGAAATTCTTTTAACAGAACTGATTATGTGGATTAGTTTTTCTCGGTCTTCCTGTTTGTGTATATACCACATATGTGTAGGTAATATGCATTAGGTAGAGGAAAGATGTGCTAACTTGCAGAGACATAGGAGAAATTAATTTATTGTGCACCTTTGACTGCCTTGCCTGCACTCTACTCTGAAGACTTATTTCAACATTCCAGACCACTGAGCAACTTCAAACAGCTGCCATTAAAAACAAAACAAAATAAAATTAAAAAAAAAAACCTACTAGAGAAATATTTTTCTCCTGCCCCTTCCCCAACATGTGGCATTCTCCTGCCCCACACATGCAAATTATCCCTCCCCGAGGCCTAGGATGGGCAAGATGGGCCTGGACCAGCAATGGATATTCTAGACATAAAAATATCAAGCTTGAAGTCCAGAATTTTGTTTCTCTCTACCTCTGGAAAAGGGGAGATTCCCAGCTTCCCTGTGTGACCCTGTACTGTTTCTAGCCCTGGAAGGGACTGAGATCACAGACTTGACAACAGTGACATTTTTATGAATGGAAAAGCTTTTTTAGTGCTCTTTTAAAGGGTTTTATGACTCCCTCTGAGCCCTTTACAGCTGGGTTCAAGGGGCCCACATATGCACCCAGGTAGCCAATAGGTGCTTTGCCCTCCCCACAAAAGGGGAAGATGAGAAGAAGATAGTTTAAAATCTTTCTAAATCGTGTAAAATGTTTTCTTATGTAAGATGTGACATATACAGAATATGTGAACAGGGGGTGGGGATGGTGCAAAGGCTTTCTTGGGATGACCTGCATTACTCATGAGTGGTTTTCACACTCATGAGTAATGTGAACATCCCAAACTTATGCTGATAAAACCTTTATACCATTTCACCCTGTCCCCATTGATGTACTCCTTATTTTACACAGGCACATGTGCACACACACTGGGCCAAATTCTTTGCAATGTAAAAAGGCAAAACTCCATTGAAATCAAAGGAGCTTGTGCCCATTTGTACCAGTGGAAAATTGGCCTAATATGTGTTACATAAAGTTCTATGTGAATAGTAGTATTGCTCTAATGTGTGACTTCAACTCATTTTAAAATGGAGATCTCCTCTCATTTCAGACTATTTTAGAAAATCTGGATCTTTCTGTGCCGTTTCAAATCAGCGTTCAGACTGTTGGTTCTTCTGGTTTGGTATCTGAGAAGATGAATGTTCGATTTAGTTGTCCTTTAACAAAAAAGGAAGCTTCATCATTTGCCTTTAGTGTTTACCCCGAAGACCAAAAGCCTGGTGCCAGCTCCCATTAGGTAGCAGAAACTGCATCTGTGTTATCAATGGAAAGTCTTATCCTCTGGTCATTTTTGACTGAATACATTTTACTGTCCTCATGACAAACACCTGTTTACAACTTATGCATGTTTGTGTTCTAATCAGTAGGCACTTGTAATACCAAAGAACTGTGAGTTATCAGTAATACACTGTACATCAAAGTAGTTCTACAGAAATGAAAAGCTTTTTTTCTGCTGCCTTTTTGGTGAAACATATGATGGCTGTTCATTAATATGTACCTTGCATGCACACGTTAGAGTTTCATTGTCTTAGAAAAGGAAATTCATAATGTAACTGTAGATGGAGGTGCTGCTGGAGCACAGTTGCCAACTTTCATGCAGTAAATAAGCACCCAGACTTTCACAATAAGCCAAAAATCAAGCTAACCCCATTTGAAAACAAGGCCAAAACCATCCAATCCCTCAGAACCCCAACACTCTGTGACTAGATTCCCCCCAGCGTGCAGTCTGGGACTGTGGTGGGCCCGCTGTGCAGCCCTCACTCTCTCCCTGCCTTGTCCCCACTTGCCGCTTGCCCTACTTGCCCCCCCCCATATCCCTGCTTGCCAGGAGTTGATAAAAAAAAGAAGCAATAAGCTACAATCCCAAAACTAGCTAACAAGCAACTCACAAGCCAATTAAACCAAAAACAAGCCCAATTTCTGCATTTTTTTCGTGGGTTTGGCATGTCTGTGCTGGAGTTAATTTAATGATGAGGAAAACTGGGATTGTGGGTATCTGCTTCTTGTCCCTCCGAACTTTGGGGGGTAAAATTATCCGACTGACTTAAAAGTAAGACTGGTTCAGCTCTGGTATTGACCAATAAGGAGTAGATGATCTGTAGTGTGGTGTTAAGGGGTATCTTGGATCAGTGACTGTGAGCAGATTGAATTCACTATATCCTAGAGAGGGTTTATTAGTAAGGATCTGTACAAAGGTATTCAGCTATGGGAAAGCACAGTTAGAGGAATTAAAACCATTAATGTTCAAGGTCGCATGGATTAGAAATATAAGGAACTAAAAGTTTAAGTATTTTGGGAGACACTGTAAGTAAAAGATGCACAAGATTTCTATCTCACTGAGGAAGAATGTAAGTAAAACCATAGTACATTTTGTGCAGAGGGGAGATTAAGGTTGGCCTTGTGGTTAGGGTGTTAGTAGGTTGCAGAGTTTGGATCTGGATTTGGACCTGAATCCAAATTTTGCTAGTGCATGTTTGTTGCTGGTGTGCCAGCTCAAGGCTACAGAAACACATACCCCAAACATCCAAAAACTCAGGTTCACCCAAATCACGAGGTCAGTAAACTGAGGAGTCAGAGCCCCTCCCCAAGAATGTCTTGCCTTTAATTCCTAGATGTTGAAATCTGGGGTTGGGACGGGGTTTTGTTGTGAATCCTTCACATGACACGATTTGAGACAATAAGCAGCTTATCTTGTTCAGATTTTCCTCCATTCCCTGAATGATTCTGCATTATATACATCCCAGAATGAAAATGGAGGCAAAGTGTGAGTGTGCTGTTGTGTGAACGCAGTACACAGCATGCAGGGTAACTCAAATTCAACATACTTTGTCAAAGCAGGTAGCTTGCATAAGCTTTCCTCTTGCTTAAGGGCTATCTTCAGGGCTTCACATAAATATAAGATAATCATGAGAGGTGTGTTAGCTTAAAAGACTATATAATGAATTATGACTTTTTATGAATGCATGACATGATATTGAGGCATAAAGGCAAGTTTTACAGAGTTCAGCATGATTAAGGCATGAACATTCTTTACAAGGTCCCTTTCTTGGTCCTAATAGTATGGGACACCAACCCCTGATGCGGTGGGTCGGGTGGACTGGCGGGACCCTAGCTCCACGGGCCAGAGGGACCCTGGTCCCAGCCGTGTCATGCCAGTGTGACACTGGCCCTGACTGCGCTGGGCTGGGCAGATCGGCAGGACCCCAGCCCGCGCCAGGCCAGGTGTAGGAGGACCTTCCCTCTTATCCCAATACTGCCTACTTTGTTGAAGAGCCTTTGATGAGGGACCTTGTCAAAGGCCTTCTGAAAGTCCAAGTACACTGTATCCACTGGATCCCCCTTGTCCACGTGTGTGTTTGACCCCCTTAAAGAATTCTGAAAGATTGGAGAGGCACGATTTCCATTTACAAAAGCCATGTTGACTCTTCCCCAACAAACTGTGTCCATCTATGTGTCTCATAATTCTGTTCTTTACTATAGTTTCAACCAAACTATGAACACTAGGTCTGACTACCTATGTTCCAATCCATAACATAGGCAGAAATTTTGCACTCTGCTTGCCTCTCGCCTGTGCTATCAGTCCTTTATACCCATTAGCATTAAAGTCACTCACAATATTTTAGCTGCTTACCATTTTTGGTTTAGTATTTGAAGCTTTCAAAGATGGTGAAGCTCAAAGCTTTCAAAGGTGTACAATATATAGAGAGAACAACTATATATAGTACTAATCTTAAATGATCCAAACTGTACCATAGAATCTGTATGGATAGAAATTCCATGCTTGAATAATCAGAATATAGCAGTAGGGATACATTACCAACCACCTGACCAGCATAGTGATGGTGACTGTGAAGTGCTCCAGAGATTAAAGAGGCTACAAAAATAGACAAGTCAATAATAATGGGGCATTTCAGCTATCCCCATATTGACTGGGTACATGTCACCTCAGGACAGGATGCAGAGATAAAGTTTCTTGACACCATATATAACTGTTTCTTAGAGCAGCTAGTCCTGGAACCCACAAGAGAAGAGGCAATTCATAGAATCATAGAATATAAGGGTTGGAAGGGACCCCAGAAGGTCATCTAGTCCAACCCCCTGCTCAAAGCAGGACCAATTCCCAGTTAAATCATCCCAGCCAGGGCTTTGTCAAGCCTGACCTTAAAAACCTCTAAGGAAGGAGATTCTACCACCTCCCTAGGTAACGCATTCCAGTGTTTCACCACCCTCTTAGTGAAAAAGTTTTTCCTAATATCCAATCTAAACCTCCCCCACTTGCAGCTTGATTTAGTCCTAAGTGGAGCACAGAATCTGGTCCAAGAGGCAAATGTAGCAGAACCCAGAGTCAAGAGTCAAGGGGTCAGGGGTCAGAGATGGAGTCAGAAGTCAAGCCAAAGATTGGAGTCAATGTCTGTTGCCATGGGTGGGGGATTATAAGTAGATATTTGGAACAGGATGGGACAGGTCCAATATAGCAGCCAGTCAGGGATTCCCCTAGTTTCTGAGACAACTTCCTGTGCCTTCTTTCTGGCTTAAAATGAGCCAACCAGAGAAGATGGATATCTCTTCCAATCAGGAGCTTCATAGGCAGTCCCTCAGGTGAGCTAGGGTCCATTAGCCCACACTCCTGCTGGTACAAGTATGCTGACGGATGGTGGCTGCAGTCTGAGGACCCACATTCAAGACCCATGATCCCTGACAGCATAGTTCTGACAATGCACCTCAGTGCTGACCTGCAGCATCCCCACTAGCCCAGCGTGTGAGTAAGAAAGGACTATCATACTGACCTGGCTGCTGGTTTGGTAATGTGGATAAAGTGAGACAACAAATTCATGTTTACTTATTAATCTCATCTCTAATGCTAATGCTCTTACCCTCTGTGCCACCTAATATTCCTTCAAGCCCTTTGTTCCAATTGTTTGGTTTAGAACTGTAGTCATCTTAGAATATTGTGACTGCCTGCTTTTTCATTCTCCCATCATTATAGCATCTAGGCATCACTAATCCATGCTAAAGGGCATAAGGGGAGGATACACAGTGAGGTCTATGGATTACTGAGTGCCAGAGCCAATGTGAGTGAAATAATTCTCCTCACAGAGCAGTGTGGGACTGTGTGTAATCTGTACTATTATCCAGTAATCCCCAAACTTTACTAATCCTCACTAGTGCTCCAGTGCAGACTCCTGAAACAAGGCTTACTGCACTGCTCCATGTGCTGTGGGCATGAAGGGGGACCCGCAGATGTTGTCAAAAGAGGCCACCCAGTTGATGTCTAGGAAGCCTTTTAAAAAGGCTCCTGCGTCATCTCTTATCCTCAACATACAAGGAGATATTGGGTTAAATATCATAAGAGCCTGGCTTGCCTTCAGCTTTCAGAACCAATGCAACTCTGTCCTGTTGTCCACCATCTTCTCTTCCCAATGTCAATATCCTATGTTCGTCATGGTAGAATTCTCCTTTACCGTTCCTCCTTGTTTTGCATAGACCGATTGATTTCCCACTAATATCTTTTCAACTCATGCATCATTGCTGCAAGTGCTTCAGCCTGGTATAATCTTACATCATGTAGTTATGTTTGTATTTGTTCTGCTCACATGCTTTTTGCCCCCACCTCAGTTTATGATCGGTGAAAATGGCCTTTGTTTGTCCAGGTGATGACCAAGCCAGCATCCTCTTCTTTTGCTTTCCAGTCTTCATTCTGTTTCTATGGTCCAATATTTGCCATATGTTCAACCCTGACTCCTTGGTTTTGTGGTTGACCAGTGTATTGTAATCTGTCTGCAACACTGCTCTAAGCTATGCACTAGCTTGCTCCAGCACCATTTCCACCAATGTTTATACTTTGCAAATTCTTTTGCTGGCTTCACCAAAGTGTGTGTGTATGTGTGTGTTAGCTGTTCCGCAGCTGTGTGGAACAATCTACCACATACAATCTTTTTAGTATATGATGCAAACGTCTTTTTAGTATGAGGAAAGAGCAGCGGTGCACTTGGACAGTCAGCCATTCTTTGCTGATGTGTGGCTGGTGAAATCAAGTGGGTATGTTACACCAGCTATGATTGACTGCAGACTAGGGCAGACAAATTTATCATGGGCTGGCTGTTGCATTGACTAGGCTGCCCTTTCTGTATAGCCTACCTTCTGTAATGGATGAAATGAGACTCTGAGAAGACTAAAATGGACAAACACACACAGTACACTAGCTATTAATTTACAAAACTAGCAACTAGCAAAATA